CTTCATCCCCACCCCCTCCCAACTAACAACCCTCAGTTCTTCCTCTGTGTCTCTGAGACTATCTCCATCCACTTCTCCCATCCATTCAGTTCCTTAGATCATGCAATTTTTGTCTTTCTCTGTCTAGCTTCTTTCACTTAGCATAGTGTCCTCCAGGTTTATCCATGTTGCTGCAAACGGCAGGGTCTCTTTTTTAAGGCTGAATAATACCCCATTGTATATAGATACCACAATTTCTTTTCCGTTCATTCATGGTCAGGCACTTAGATTGTTTCCTATCTTGGCTGTTGTAAATAATGCAGCGATGAACTTGGGAGCGCGGATCTCTCTTCGAGATACTGATTTCATTTCCTTTGGGTATATACCCAGAAGTAGGTTTGTTGGCTCATATGGTAGTGTTTCTTGAGCATACATGCTAAGGTAGTCTGCCTTAGTTGATGACGATGGCCACGGCTGAGGTGAGTGGGTGGTCATTCCGAGGAATTGGGCCCAGCTAGGTCACTCAAAGGTGGCAAGTGGTTGTTGCCCACTGCTGTTGCATCCTGGTAGCTCCTTCAGCACTGGCAGCCAGTGGCTCCCCTCTGGCAGTGCTGATAGTTACAGCCTAGCCCACTGGCTTCTCGGGAGGCGTGGGCATGGAGATGGTAGAGGCAGGGGATCGCTCTTCTTTGCTGAAGTTCTGGGCCCCCAGCTCATTGTGTGAACCAGCAGGAGCTGGAGGCCCAAGAGCTGCTGCTTATCAGCTTGCCCCAGAGGAGTGAGAAATGGCTGGTTGGCAGGTTTGCTGCCCTTTACCTGGTCCTCACCTGTGTGAGCTGCCCAGAGGCTTAAAGCTTCAAGTGTACAGGTGGGATCCCAGGGATGTAACAGGCTTTTCTCTTCTGGAGTAATTATATCCTTTCAATCAAGGCAATAGGACAGGGAGAGAAACATGAATTTATTAATAATCTGTTCCCTTCTGTAACCTCAGTTCCATCTTTGGGGATTTGTCTGTTTAAAGTTTAAATCCAGCAAAGCAGGACTTACGTTGTTCTAACTGTGTGTTAGTAACATACATTGTGCCAGTATCTGCACATGTCCCATGTGAAAACCCTGTGCTTCTCTGTGGAGACTATTTCTCGTGTCAAGTCCACTTTGAATATGTTCTTCTGTTTGACCCTCTACCCGTTTTCTTAGTCTCATTCTCAGCTTTCTCCCAGCTCTCCATCCTCCTCTCTGTTCTATCAACTCCCCTTTGCCCAGGGCTGCACGTCCTCTCGTAGTCTGGACTGAGACTCAACATGGCTGTTGTCTTGGGGCATGGCTCCACACTCTCAGGTTTGACCCACTTTTCCGGGTTCCATGTCATCATCTGCTTGGTTTGCTCTGCCATGTCGTTTGAACTACATGCTTAAGTCACTTTCAAAAAAGCCCATGTTGGAGGTAAACTTTCCAAGTCCTTGCAAGTCTGAAAATTACTTTGTCCTCATACCAAGTGATAGTTTGATCAGGCATAGTTTCTTTTTCGTCAAAACCTTGAAGGCTGCATCTTCTAGCATCCTGCATGGCAGGATGTGAGAGTCAGCAGCCAGTCTGGAGGCTTGTTTCTTTTGAAGCAATTCTTTTTTTTTCCCTGGAACCTTTGAGGATCTTCTCTTAATCTTCAGTGTTCTGAACTTTGATGGTACTGTGACTACATATAGTTGTTTCATTCCTAGGTGGGCATTTCGGTGGCTTATAGCCTTCGACTGTAGAAACATACCTATCTTGTATTTCTTTGAAACTTGCCTCTTACTCTTTTTCCGTCCTGAACTCATATCAGTTAGCGATTGAGCTGTTTAAACTGACCTTATATGTCTCTTACATTTTCTGGATTATTTTATTTTATTCCTTTTTTTTTAACTTGGTCATTTCCAAGAGCCCTTTCTTGTTCTCTAACTGTTCCTTTTTCATAGAACTCTTTTTTCTCTTAATGGAGTAGCTTCTTGAATTTATTCATTGATACTTAATTACGGGTTTAGTTTTGTTTTTAAGTTCTTCTGTTTCCTGCGGGGTCATTTTTTCCTCTTCTTGCTTATCTCGATCTTCTCTTTTACATTGCAGGCTTTCCTCAAATGACTATGATTCTTGGTTGTGTAGTCATGTTTAAGTAATTGAAAGGTCGACAATTTTCTGTGCGTAGATGGGGCTTGCAGGCAGACCGGCTCGACCTCAGGGTGTCCCGAATGGGAACTGAGCTTACTGTGGGGGCGGGATGCTTGCACCAGTGCCCATGTGAGGAAGGCTCTGCATGCATGTGCACACACACCAGCTATCTTGCTTCTCAGCAGAAAAATCCATGGCATTTCTTTAGAGATACCCCATCCACTTTTTAAATTTTTGCCTGGAGAGATGGCTGGCCCCAGGTGCTTTTGTTTGGGATGGCGTGGGGAAAGGAGGTCAACCGGCCCATGCACAGGACTTGCATTTGTCCCCCTGTCTTCATCTCTGGTTGCCCTCTCCACCCTCCACCATACCTGCCACCTCTGGGCTGCCAGGCCCGTTCTGCTTGTCCTCCACTACAAGGGTTGTGTGCCCGCTTGCTTCCATCCACTCTCCATGTTCTGAAAATTGGTTGATACTTCTCATCTGTCAGTGGCCCCTCCACACGTTTTCTCTTTGTTGTGGGTTTATTATCTGTATTTTATTCTTTTGCCTTTATTATCATGGAGCATTAGAAAGGAAGAAAGGAGAGGAATACTTGTGTTCAGTATTTAAATAGGAAGCCAGTTTACTATAAAAGAACATAGACCTTATGAAACAAAATAATGCGTGGTTTTCTTTTCAAAGCAATCTTTTCTTCTGCATCCTTAGAAATAGTGGTTCTCTTGAAAATGTGCTGATGAAAGAAGCCAGTCACAAGGACCATGTATTATATAATTCCATTTATATGAAATGTCCAGAGTAGGCAAATCCTTAGAGATAGAAAGCAGATTGGTGGTTCTCTAGGACTGGGGGTGATGGGGGAATTGGCAGGCAACTGCTAATGGATGTGGGGTTCCTTTTGACTGTGAAGAAAATATTCTAAAATTGATTATGGTGATGGTTGCACACCTCTGTGAATACACTAAAAGTCATTGAATTGTACACTTTAAATAGGTGGGTTGTATGAATTCTATCTCACTGAAGCTATGAAAATGTGGAGGTCTTTTTTGATATGTTTGATTTTATTAGGCACATCCTCTGTTAATCTAGGACCGAAGAAGTCTTACTCAGTGTTAGATGCACAGGCAGATTGTGATGGTAAAGATGGAATCATCTGATGATGTCCACAATGTTTTATTTAATAGGTTCAAAAATAAAGAAGCTGGTGTATCCACCTGGTTTCATGGGAGTAGCTGCCTCTCTTTATTATCCACAACAAGCCATCATATTTGTCCAGGTAAGTAACACCGAGTAAGCTACGATGTCCCTCATTCTTGCTTATGTATGTATGCGTTTACTGCTTCATTTTATTTTGTAGCTTTGATAACACCAGACTTGTTTGCACATATAAATGAATACAGCACATTTAAATGTTTTTCTCCACTATATACCTCAGTTCTGGCCCTCTTTCCAGTGATGTCAGTGTTCAGAGAATGTGCACTAATTTGAATATTAATACAAGAAAATTTAAGGTACCTTTTTTTTTTACACATTGACATGGACATCTAGAGACTCAGATTCCAAAGCTGATAGTTACGGGTCATTCTCGGTGTGGGCGTATCCAGTCACAACCTGCCCCCCTCGGAGTTGCAGGCCTATGCTCGGCCCTCTGTGTTCTCCTGGTCCTGGCACCAGCCTCACTTTCCTTGCTGGGGACTTTGGGGAATGCAGTCCCCTGTGCCGGGAACACCCTTCTCGGGGTTCTCAGTTAGCTGCTCCTTGCTTACCCATCAGGCCTCAGCTTGATGGCATCCTGGCAAGTAGAGCACAGTGGCAGGCAACATGACTAAAGCTGACGTCCTAGTCAGCTCGAGCTGTCATAACAAAACACCACAGACTGTGGGACTGGAACAGCAGAAGTTTATTTTCTCATAGTTCTGGAAGCGAGAAGTCCGACATCAAGGTGTCAGCAAGGTTAATTTCCTTTGAGGCCTTCTCTCCTGGGCTTCCAGAAGGGTGCCTTCTCGCTGTGTCCTCACATGGCCTTTCACTGTACTTGCACGTCCTTGCTGTCTCGGCCTCACCTTACAGTGACACCAGTCATATTGGATTAGAGCCCCACCCTTATGACCTCATTTAACCTTAAAAGGCCCTATCTCCAAATATAGTCACATTGTGGGTTAGGGCTTCAACATACGCAATTCAGTCCATTAACAGCTGGACCAGCAGGTCTCGAAGTGTGTTCCCTGGACTAGCAGCATCAGGATAACCTGGGAACTTCTTAGAAATGCAAATTCTCACAGAACCTGAAGGAAACAACCATGTGGACAAATGAAAAAGGCCTTTTGTCTACAGATTGCAGTGATCCTACATAATCATGGAGGTCTCTGGCTTAGGAAGGCTGGCTATGCCTGATGGTTCCCCTCCATACAGACTTTCAAACCAGCACTCTGGGTCCTGCTTTCCTTGCCATTTTGGTTAATACCTCTGCTGATTAAGTATACTAGATTATTCGTAGACAACCAAATGAGGTTCCTTTCGCATCCATCTTAACTGCATTTTGAGGTATCTTATGGTTTTTAAAAACAGGAGTCCAATATGCTGATTGGTGCCAACAGTTAGGGGACAGTTAAGGTGCTGGCACTGGTATGAAGAGGCTTTACTCAAGTTAAATGGCACTTGCTCCTGCTGAAATACATTTGTAGCTGTTGAGGAGAGAAGACAGAAACTGTCATGTCATGTCTCTCCCCAGAGTCATCATGGGTTTGGGATTTGAGTCGTTTTTCTTTTACTTTTCCCCCTCCTTTGGGACATTGGGAATACCCAGTTAGTGTTATCAGTGGAACATTATGGACTTTGCTGCTGTCGGTGATGTGGTTATCTAATGTTTGTGGGGGCTGGCCGAGAGGCTCAGTTGGTTAAGAGCTCGCTCAAGGGTTTGAGCTCTGAGCAACAGCGGTTCGAGTCCGGCCCGAACTGAGCTGCCAACAGGTGGCAGGATGGCTCAGCTATAAAAACAAAAAGATTCTAATGTTCGTGATAGGGAAACATTCTTTTGAATCAAAATACATAACAAAAAATAATTTGAGAAAAGAAAAGCAAGTTCTCACCACCCAGACCTACTGACTCAGACCTTCTGAGGGTTAGGGGAAGGAATCTGTATTAAGAAGCTATCCAGGGGGGATTTCAATGCCCGTGAGGTTTGAGAACCACTGATACAGACTAGACTCTTTCAGGGCAGTGGTGTCTGGCTTAGTGGGACCCTAGACATGGAGTCCCTTGGAGAACTGGCAAGAACAAGGCAGGCTCTAGGTTTTCAGTTTCTGGACGGCTTATGGAGATGGACCCAGTTGCCAGAACTGCCATATCACACAGAGATGCGGTCCTAGGAGGAGCAGCAGTGCTGTCACCAGAACTGGGCTCTGAGGGCTCTGAGCTACGCTGATGTGCCACTGAGCTCCCTGGAGTCCTTGTGACAGGATCGAGTCTAGATTTCTGGATCGTGCTGCAGTTGTAAGTGGGAGTCCAGTGGCTCCCGCTGTGGGAAATGGCTCGGGCGGCAAATGTCAGTAATACCTTTCTATTGGGTTGTTGAAAAAATCATGACGTATTTTTCTATGTTTTTCATTACAAAAATGCATCATGACTTTTCCAAAGACCCAATAGCATGGGCTTGACATTGTTTATAGCAGTCCTGGAGGCAGACAGTTACTGTTCCTCTGCCTGCCTCAGCCCCAGCCCAGGAACAGTAAATCAGGTCTACCTGCTCCAGAGCATAAAAATAATCTAACATCATGTCAGCCTGTTATGGTTTAAACAGGAAATGGATAGGGTGGGGCGGGGGTCCTGGCTGTTGGTTGAGAAGCATAGGTGGCTGCCCTTAGGGGAAAAAACCTTTATTTAAAAAAAAATCTTACATGTGACAGCATATGTTGCAAAAGATCTTTTGTATTAACAACTAAGATAGTAGGATACAAATCTGAGTTGTATTCTAATTTCTTTTTAAAGTCAGTGGGAAGGAGTTTTGTCTTTTATTTTGTAGAGTAAGTGAGAACAAAAACAATTAACTTTATTTTCACTTAATATAAAACATTAGCGATCTGTTTGGGATGATGAAAAAGTTCCAGAAATGGATAGTGGTGATGGTTGCATAACATTGTGAAAGTACTTAATGCCGTGGAATTGTATACCTAAAAATGGTTAAAATGGTAAATTTTATGTTATGTGCATATTGCCTCAGTAAAACAAAATAAACATCAGTGATTGAAAACATTTTTTTTCTGATATTGTTTTAATGTCATTTGGTTCCTATTTCACAGTTTCATTTTTTTTTTAATGAATACCCTGATGTTGGACAAGCCTGTTAATCACTTACATTCTGTTTTCTGTTCAGTAGTATTTGGATAAAAGTACTGTAAGAAAACCCTTAAACTGATGGCAAATGTTATTTTCCTCTCAGAAATTTATAACCCTGAAACCAGTGCCATATGTGTAGTAAATGCTCTATATGTTTACTAGTGGGTCCGAGAATCATATCATACCATATTTTAAGAACAGTTAGAGCAACTGAAAGAATATAACTTGTAAGAAATCAGCATGTTGCAACAACCACTGGATTTACTAGCACCATGACTTCAGACAAGTTACTTGGCCCCTGAATATTTCCTTATAATCTTTGCCTGCTGACTGCACAGGGTCGTTATATAGAATAGAGATAATTCATGCGAATGTGCTTTGTAAACTGAAATGCTCTATATGAATACATTATTGCAAAAATTAGGAAGTGAATAATAACTGCTTTCAGAAATTTTAAGTACTGTCACGTGGAAGAGTAATCAACACTCTTTGTTATAAGTAGGACCAATGAATGCAAATTACTGGAAGCATTTTTTTTTAAAGAAAGCTCAATACTTAAAGTTTCCAACCATTCAAGCCAGCTAGCCAAAGATGGACAAGCGCTTTTTAAGGTAATGAACCCCCTGACTCCAAAATATTCTCTGACCCCTCAGGAAGGATTTTGCATCAGGAGGCAAAACCCCTGTAGAAACTCAAAGACTTTATATTTTAGGGGACCTGGGAAAACTGAGAGCGTCTTCATTGGGGTCACCAATTTTGTTCCTAAGCCTAAAATGATTGATTTTCAGCTTGGCAGATGTGACTTGGTTGGTTGTAACATGCTAGATGTGATAGGTAGAAGCCTTTCTGTGTCTGATTTTTAGGAATTTCCCATATCAGCAGTGATCGCCTACATTTTTTTCCCTTGAAATTGTGAACATTTGAAATATACACCTGATTGGTGGAAAATTGTTTTAAATGATAACTATACACAACCACAATATTTTTCTTCTTATTCTATCATTCTTACCATTTCTTTATTTGCTCACGCTGCACAGTTTTAATGTGTATGTCCCAAGACTTCTGTAGTCATCATATGCTTAAATACAGTTCTATTGGGAACAGGAAAAAGGAAAATGGAAAATTCTTTTCTTTACCCGTCATGTATGGACTAGCAATGGATCTTTTATATTTTGTTTCAAGGTCAGCGGAGAGAAATTATATGACTGGGGTTTACGAGGATACATAGTCATAGAAGACTTTTGGAAGCAGAACTTTCAAAAGGTGAGAAAGATTTTTTCATTATCTTCCTTTTGGTTGAAATGTGTGGTTTCCCTACGGTTTTGTAAAATTCTTGAATACCCTGTTGCTCAATCTTGCTTTGTCTGTTTATTCGTTACGTCTCTCACTTAGACTGTGTGCTGGCCCTTACTGGAGGAGCAATAGAACTTCTACACATTTGCTTGTTATCAGCAGGGCTGAATAAGGGGTAACCATAAAACACATTCCACTGCATGGGGTGGGTTATCTCTTTGTGAGGGGTGTGAATGTCTAATCATGTTGTTTTGTACACCTGAAACTAATAAAAAAATGTAAAAAACCACACACATTCCACTGCAGTCTTAGACCATAATTTGCACTGTATCGTATTTATAATTTGCTCAAAGTGTAGCACATTGTCTGAAAGTTTTGTCAAAACTGGATTCAAAGGGAACATACTATACTCCCAGGCAAAAGACAAATAAATAACCAGGACTCCTCTTGCTATTTCACTTACCATAGCTCTGTTCTTTCCTTAGCAGTACTGTATCTGTTCATCTCCGAGCCTTCTTGATCCAGTTAAGGGCATGAGCCACGTTATGTTGGGGACCAGCCACCACCAGTTACAGGCCACATTCTCTGTGCTGACTGGTGGATGAGTGGCAGAGGGAGAAGGTTGTATAACTAAGGATGTGCCATCTTTCATCTCTTCTCACAGCCACATAGCTGATTGGATGTTGCCCATGTTTGCTGGAATTTTCTCTCTTTCCCCTAATAAGGAAGAGTGAGTACAGAAAAAGGCATCATGTCTCCTCCAGGCAGTCAGAGGCAGGCACAGTTCACTGAGGAAGAATTCAAGTTCTTACTACGTTAATATAATATTATGTTAACATATCTTCTTCATCGTAAATTGAAGGGAGTTCATTTTGACTCCTGTCTTCTCAAATCAAAATACTCTTTTAAAAAGTACAAACCATTTCAAGATTAAAATTCAGAATTTGAAACTGGAATTTGGAAGTAACATCATGGAATAAGTTAGAAGCCCTTCTCATTGTATACGAAAATAATTTTCCAGTGAAATCTTGACTAATTTTTGCGTTGATGGTTTCTAAAGGAATTAGTCTCCATCGAGCCTGTTTAAACTAGCTCTTCAATACAAAGTTCGGTAGTAATATCAAGTGCCCTTTGGCAATCCCTTTTAAAGAATAAACAGTCATTTTATTTATTTTCATTTCTCTTGACATTTTCTTTGGAACCTTCCTTTCCTGTGTAAAAAATTCCCAAAGTCTGCACTGAGTTTTATATGGGAAAGAAAATACTGGAATGTCAGGGAAGCTATACACAGCCCTAGAAAGAAATGTGGAAAATGAAACTCAGCCTCACTCATGTCTGAGTGCCCACTGTGTTGTGGGGCAGACACATGCACACCAAAGCCAGGACGGGGGTCCCCCCGCCTGGAGCCTCTTGCTTCGAAATAGCCCTCTCTGCTCTGATTCAGCCCAGTGCAGGAGAAACGGGACTGTGGTTGGAATGCAAGTTAAACAGGCCAGCATTTTATGGTAATTTGAAAACGTTAGCTATTAAAGCTACTCAAGTTTATGTGTGAGTGTTTGGAGAGTAAACACTGGTAAAGCTGTCTGGTTAGCTGGTGGCTGCTTTGCATGTCCCTCTCCAGACTTCTCTGCCCTTGCCCTCTTCAGAGTCATTTGAGAACTTACTGTTCTCCATTTGTTTACTCTCAAAGCATAATTTTCCTGACAGCTGTCAGTTCGCAACAGAAGGTAGTAAAATCGATGTTGACTACTTAAACATTTACCACAAGTTTTAAATGAAAAATGGCAGAAAGCTCTATTCATTCAAGAGTTGATATACTTTGAGTTCAGGAATTATTCGATAGTGGAATGCCATTGGTTTTTTATTTCCCTGCCTTCCTCTTGTTGGAGTTTGTGAGTTTCAGTGTTTTGTTTTTGTCTTATTAATGAGAACAAAGATTTAAGCTACCCTGGAACAGGAATCTTGCAGGGCCCAGGAACTGTCTCGTTGAAGGGAATTGGGGGACACTTCATGAAAGAGATTTTTGTTTGTTTCTTAGCTTGTTTTGAGATTGGTTTTCAAGTCAGGCTTCAATTACATCTCATTAGGTACAATCTAATTCATAATTGTTTGTACTATAATGATATAACAGATGTACATGCTTTTGGTTATAAATGGTCAAAGAAATTTGTGGACAGTACGTTTAAAACAAGGCCCTGAAATTTTAAGTGGTATGAATGATGGCTCAGTTCTCAATTATATTATTTCTCATGGAGCTATATTACTCTCAAAGACCCTGAATATGTCTGTGGCATTTTTCTGCTCTTCCACATCCCTTTTCCCTTTTAGGAATTAATTCTAAATGTTTGCACTGAATCTTCTACCAATAAGGTGTGGATGAGGTGGTCTTTCAGTTCAGTCTCTGTCATTGGTCCGTTAAGAGGACTTGATTTGCTTCAGCTAAAGTGAACTCTTTGTCAGAACTGTGAAGTGAAGATGGGTGTGTCCAGAAATACTGTCATTGTAGGGTGGTCTAGGGTTTGTTTTTGTTTGAGATAAAAGAACGTATAATAATATACAGTAGACCCTTGAACAATGCAGGGATTAGGGGCACCAACCCCCGCGTAGTAAAAAATCCATGTATAACTTGACTCCCCCAATGCTTAGTTGTCCCTTGTTATCCATGGGGGATTAGTTCCAGGACCCCCTGCAGATACCAAAATCTGTAGATGCTCAAGTCCCCTATATAAAATGGTGTAGATCAGTGGTTCTCAGCCTGTGGGTCGCGACCCCTTTGGGGGTCGAATGACCCTTTCACACGGGTCGCCGGGTACTCGTATGTGGGCGTATCTGCATGTGGGCCTGGAGACGGATAGAGGAGCGGTGTCTCGGTTCCTAAGACCATCGAAAATATGTGTTTTCCGATGGTCTTAGGCGACCCCTGTGAAAGGTTGAGAACCGCTGGTGTAGATCAATGCATGCAGACAGCCCTCCACATATATGGATTCCCAACCATGGATTGAAAACAGCACAGGTATTTCTTGAAAAAAATCACGAATAAGTGCACCCACGTGGCTCAAACCCATGTTGTTCAAGGCTCAACTTTATATATACAGTTTAAAATCCAACAATATAATGACCACACATATACTAACCACCCATCCGCCTTTTAAAATAGGAAATTACTAATGCCTTCCAAGTTCTCCGCTGGCCCTTCCCATCTTCCCAGAGGGAACCACGATCCAGAAGTTTGTGTTTTTCATTCCCTTGTTTATCTTTAAAATTTTCTTTTATTTTAACCACATACATACATGAGTATATTCTAAAACACTGTAGTTGAGCTTGTTGGTTTTTTGCCTTTATAATGTAAATAAATATATCAAAATATATTAATATATAGAGTTTATCTAGATGGAGTCTTACTACATGTATTATTTTGTAACTTGTTTTGTTCCCTTAACATTATGTTTATGGGCTATGTATGGCGGTAGTTTATTCATTTTCACTGCCGTAGAATATTTCTTTGTGGGAAAATAGCCATGTCGATGGCCAGTTGGGTGGTTTTAAGTATATTGTTGCACACATAGCTAGGAGCATTTTTGTACATGTGTCATGGTTTATTACGAGTTTTTCTAGGCTGGATTCCTGGTTCATAGGGTCTGCACATCAGTTTTACTATTGGGTTGTCGGAAAAGTCATGACGCATTTTTGCAATGAAAAACAAAAAATATGTCATGACTTTTTTCGACAACCCAACAGATGATGCGAAGTAGGTTTCCAAAGTGGTTGTTTCCGTTTTTGTCAGTCTGATGGTTTTAAAATAATTTTCCCTGTGTGTGTGTGTGTGTGTGTGTGTGTGTATGTGTGTACTTTATTCCTCAATTTTTATTTTGAAAAATTTCAAAACCACAGAACAGCTGCAGGAATAGTACAACAAATACAGCCTTCACTTAGATTCACCAATGAAAACTTTGCTACATTCTCTTTGTCTATCTTTTTGCACATGAGTGGGTGCTCATACACTTGTGTATTTTATTTTTCTGATATCTAGTTGTAGATATCATTGTGCTTTCCACCCATATCTAATTCGGCATGTATTTGTAAAGAACGTGGATTTCACTAATATAATCACAATACCATTATCGTACTCAGGAAAGTTAACATTTCATTGTTTACATAAACATTACCTAATACACAGTCCATATTCAGATTTCCCCAGTTGCCCCAATAATGAGCTTTCCTTCAACAACTTTATTTTTTTATAGCCAAGAGAATTATTATAAGGCAAGCGCCCTTGTACCCAGCATCTAGGACAAAAAAATAGAACTTTACCAGCCACTGCCAAAGCTCCTGCCTGTAGCCCACCCCAATCCCAGTCCTCTTCCTCTGTCCAAAAATGCCTCCTCTCTCGACTTCTATAGTAATAACTTCCTTGTCTTTATGGCTTCATCACCTAAGTATATTAGCCCTGTCACATTAGTCTTGCCTGTTATTATTTCTGACTTCATATGCTTTTTAAGTCTTTTTTTTTCTTTTTGCCTTTTAAGTCACTTTTAATCTACAGGCTGTCCTTCCAGCCTTTTCTTTTCCTTACAATGTAGGTATCTGTTAAAAGAACCTGGCATGTTGGACCTATCCCATTTCCAACAGTTTGGGGTTTGCTGATGGCACACTGATGGCACACTCAGTTGAACAAGTTCCTCTCTTACTCTGCCTTTCCTGCATATTGGCGGCTGCATCCAGAGGCTGCCAGATCAGGTTCATGGCTGACCCTGCTGGCAAGGCTGTAGGTCTGTGTGGGCACATAAGTCTGGTTTTCACTTCGCTCTTGGTGTTAGCAGCTGCTGACGCTCAATGCCTAGACCCCTTGGTTCACTAGGGGTAGGAAAATGGTTTTTTTACTTCCGTCATTTCATTTTCACATATTAGCAGGACTACTTTAATAAGGAACCACACTCCCTCATCTACTCTTTAGTTACCCAGTTATAGGA